GAAATGGTACCTTGACAAATGTAAGAAAAAATGTCAGGGAGAAATTTCCTCGAATTTGCCAGGCGCAGTCTACGAGGCTGAGACCTCCAAACTTGAAAAAATTGGCTCGATTAAGAACGAGCTAAAACTTGAAAGTACCAATGAATATTTCAAATTAATGCGACAAATTTTAAGAAAATCAATATTTTATCAACGCGTAGCACCATATTTAGGCTCTTAGAAGAGGAGCATAAAATTGTTTCGTTCGACACTCGCGTCTTGTCAGCTGTCACATTGACATTCGATTAATTCCTGTGCTTAGTTCTTTATTCATACATTTTATTTTTTTTCCAGATACACGCGAGATATTAAAACGAATGGACACGGGAAAAGTGGATCTTACAAACGCGGTCATTTACGCAAGCTCGACGCAACTCGCTTTCAATATTTTCTCGATTATGCTGCTATTATTATGTGTGTTTAATACTCGTCAACGTGTGTCGCTTATACATTCATCAAATCACGTATTTATATGCCATCGTTGTGTGCGCGCACAATATTTAATTACAGGCTTTGAGGTTGATATGAAAATATTATACACGTGTGCGTTGATGGCGCTTGTTCCGACTTCCGAATTTCCGAGCATGTTTACGTACGCAGTAATAAGCAAGGCTACACATCGCTTTAACTCTTTTTTTTTCAATCTCGTGCTTTTTTCGTTCGTCCGCCGTTACACGGGACACTGAGATGAGGAGGCTGTAACAAGCTCGATGCGCTCGATGCGGCGCAGTTGCGAATGTATTTCGGAAGCGGCGTGGTGTATCAAAAAAATGTTGATGCGACTATCTCGATCTTACGCGCGTATTGATCATTATTTTTCGTACATTAAAGGGATTACATGCGTTTCTGTTTTGCGATCAAGTTAAAGTGTTCCTTTGACGCAAAGGCAACGAGAGACGTTCGAAAGAATCAAAGAGTTTGAAAAAACAATTCAATTGGAAAATGACTCAACTTCAGCTGGTCGAGATCGACGCCCGGAACAAGCTGGGCCGTACACCGCTGTTCTTGGCTCTGAAAAACGACGATACACGAGTGGCCGAATCATTGCTGCGAAGCGGCGCCAGCCCGACCCCGACCGACGAGGATGGAGAGACACCTCTTCATTTGATTTGCAGGAGAGGCGACGACGAATTCTTGCGGGTATTCTTCGAGATCTGCGCCGAGAAACATCGCGAGGTACTACCGATCGACCCTCGGGACAAGTGGGGCGTGACACCGCTGCACTTGGCCGCGTTTTGGTCCCACGAGAAGGTGCTCGAGTCGTTGCTACGAAGAGGTGCCGATCCGAACGTGACCAACGACAACGGATGGACGCCTCTGCACGTCATTTGCAGGAGCCGCCATTTCGATCATAGCTTGGCGAAGTTGTTTTTTGAGATCAACGACGAGTTGCGGCGGGAAGTGTTGGTCGACGCGAGCGACAAGAGAGGCTGGACCCCGCTACAATTAGCCGTGGCGAATTTCTGCCCGGATAAGATCGACGTGCTCTTGGATCGTGGCGCTGACCTGTCTAGATTCACTTTCCCGACTCGGAGTTGCTGCGAAGAGTGGCGCAATTTGAAACTGACATTGGCGTGCGAGACTCTGAGCATCGTTGGTCATCTTGAGAAAAGAGGATACGATATAGATCGAAACGACGCACTGACAATCGTGAAAACATTCGCCAAGTGCAAAATGTTCGATAAGTCAGCGGACATTGAATTTTGGCTCAGTGACGAAGACTTTGTGAGCGAGGCGAAAGAAATAACGTTGCATCCAACTCGATGGTCGCTTTACGACCTGTTGTTCCGCGTGCGACCCGAAGATGTGGAAAAAATGTTCACTCGTAAAGACTATTTCGTGTTCGCTACGTTGGAATCATCCTGGAAGATCCCCTACGCGTCCAAAGAGGCTTGTTCCGAGTACCTGTGCGAGATTCTGACAAGGGGATTTTACCGGCGCTGGGCGTTGGATTTTTTCTCAGAGCTGACGGGCTATCGGCTGCCGATTCTTTGCTGCGAGATGATCATTGAAAATCTGAAGAACAAGGACTTGCTGGGTATATGCCTGGCAGCGGAAGTCGTTGCAAAAGAAGAAAGGAGAAACGTGTGAAATCGTTCGCAAAGGTACTTTGATTTTTTTTAGACTAAATAATAATTTTTTTTACTAATTTTAACTCTATACCTTGATTTTTTTAGAAAAAGACGTCGAGGGATTTAATATTAGCTTCTACATTGATAATGTTAAAATGTACTTTTTGCTGTGCACGATTATTATTATGGTGTTAAATAAATATATTCATATATTACGAAGATATAAATAAGTATACAGTCAATTGTACAGTATTGATGTAAAAGATCAGATTTGAGTTTTTATTTTGAAAAAAATCAGCTAATATTACATTTAAAAAAGTAGCAAAAAATGCAAGTATCAATATGAATCTAATAAAAGGTTTAATCGTTTGCTAAATTTTTAAAATTTTTATTTGCGCATTGAAATGGAACGATGCAAAATCGATGAAAGCGTCTGCATAAGCTCATTTTCAGTACATTGAGTTGAGGTGTGACATACCTTTTTTCACTCGTTCCATTGTATCTTTGTAAAGGTTTCGGTAAATTTACTCGTGTCACGAGGAATTGAAATATGAAAAATTTGACTTCCACGGTTTACTTTTTTCGCAGACCCAAAAGTCGATCGGTGACATATTCAGCATTACCACTCGGTATTAGATAGCCAAATATCGTATGAACTGTCGCTCACCTCGTTTCAAAAATGATATAAAACGTCCAGATCGTCGAGTCGTTTCTTTCAAGCTTCTTGTCTAGATTTATTCTGTGCAGACTCCGACCGATGCTTTCTAAAAAGCTTAACAAGTAAAACGTACATCAATGTATATGGTACTACTACACACAACACGTTACCGCGTCACAGCGTAAACACAGAAAAATTACGTCACCTGTAGCAAGTGATTTTCGTGGAAAAATGAATTTTGGGCAATTGTAAAAGATTTACAGGGTCGATATCCTGATCTCCGAGACATTTTTCAACTGTCTGTTCTCTTGTCCATCGTCGATTCGGCGGAGATCGCTGGGTTAGGGAAATGTGAAAATAATTTGAACAAAAATGATTCGAGCCAAGATGATTCAAACCAAAGTAATTCAAACCGAGATAATTTAAGCCAAAATAATTACCCCAAAATATTCTCATTTAAGTGGAACTTCTGTAGTAACAAACAAAATGTATTAAATGTAACAAAATGAACAATTTTTTATAAAAAATTGAATCAGTTATTCTTTAAAATTCAACGAAAAAAAAATATCTGAAAAATTTGTAAAAGTATATCTAAAATATCAAATTAGCTGTTTATGGACAGCCATCAGAAGTAAAAATTCTCTTAAATTAGTTACCTGAAAACATCGAAATATGAGAGAAAAAAATCTTGAAAAATTTAAAAGAAGTAAAATAAAGTTTTGAAAAATGTTATTCATAGCTATCCATAGACAGCTATTTTAATATTTTAGATTTACTTTTACAATTTTTTTCCATAAAAATGCATGAAAATTCAATCGTATATTTTATACTTTTAATGTCGAAATGATAAAAATTGATGTTCAATCGATTAAAATTGCTAAAAGAAATTCATGAAACTTCATTCAAAACTAATACTAGCATCCACCGCTAGATGGAGAGTATTTTTACCTCTAAACCTGTAAGTGGTAAAGTGAAAATAATTATATAAGTCGAAGCACGGGTTTACTGTCACAATAATAATTTTCTGGTATTATAGGTAAATAGTAAGGGTCGGATACTTTCACGTCTGCAACTGGTACTGGGTAGTTGCTTCTATATAATTTACGATACTTTTCTCTCACATATATAGTGCTTGTTAAAAAACATTACCCAATCACTGCAATTTCCTTTTTTTATCGGCCAGCAATGCACTTTTTGAAATTTTCTGGTCCCTTTTTTTAGGGCCAAAAACAATTGCCCTTCACAAACTTCTTCAATTGACATTTTCGTTTATCGTGTCGTGTCGTTTGCTGAAATCATGAAACTCAGGCATGGACTGAAATATCCCGACACGCGGTCAAACGTGTATACGTATTATATCGTATAAGAGCAATTCTATAGAAAATTTACCATAATTATAAGGGTAAAAAAAATGAAAAAAAAAATGTCTTTTGGACGCGGCACGATGTCGACAAACGGCTAAAAAGAGGCCGAAAGTCTCGTATTGCTCGAATTGTGTCGCTAAAATAAATTAATAATCATTTTCTATAAGTTTAGGCCAATAGCAAAGTAATGACATTGCATAATATGAGATAACGCATCCGCAAGACCCATACATAGAGGCCTGTCCCGTTTAATGCAAGCAGCAAAAAATTTTGAATTAAATAATTGTATCCATAAAAAAGAAATAAAAATAATTTAATCTCTAGTTTGAATTTTGATTCATCATGAAATTTTGTTTCACTGCAGAATTAAAAGTCAAGTTTCAATTACACTCGTTGATTTGCGTGTCCAAAATGTTTAAATTCGATAAATTCGACTAAAAATTACGTAAAAGTTGCAGAATAAGTTTTGTTCCTAATCAATATCCAAGTCGACTATTTTACATTTAGTGTAAAAAGAAGTGTGGATTTCTTAATCATTCATAAATTTCGTACTGCGCTCGTTTGTTGGTAAAAGTGCGTCGAGTTGATTATATTTTTTGCCGACTGCTATTATTCCTTACCGAAAAATTACGCAATCGCATACATTTTATTGTTCATAAAATACAGCCAACTATTTTGCTTCGTATCTCTAAAAATCCTAAAATTTTAAATTTTCCTCAATTTCTTACAGATAAGATGACAAAATCGCGCAAGTCCGTTCGAATTGGCAAGCCTGCGCGCGAAAATATTATCATCTGTGTGCTGTTGTGGTGTGTTGCACGCTCGCTCCCCCACTCTGCGGGTTTCTCTCTCTCTGAGGTCTTGGACATTTACTGCTCTGCTACTCTGTGTGTTGACTTCGTCGTGTGCGCGCAACGACGTTACTTTACATTACATCAATTCCAAAATTTCGCATGAGTCAAGCCTGCGATCGACTCTGATATTGTTCAACTGTACGGCGAACGAACAACTTCTTCATATAGGATTTCAGCGATTTAACGCATCAAAATGGGTTTAGTTTGCTCAACTGCACAGGTGAGTTTTTGAGCTGTATAATGCACGTACTGCTTGCTATTGCGCGTTCCTTGCACATCGAAAACAACAAAGTCCGTGACATGTTGTGTGCGTGTATGCGTGTGTGCGTATGTGCATGTCGCACAGTGTTTATTTAGCCTGCGTCAGGTTTTCCCTTTTTTTTTCATGTATAACTAAGAATAATCTACTCTCGTGATATCTGAGTTTTGCACTTGAGTTGATTGACGATTGTGGTTAACTTTATCAGTGATAATAAATTCCAACTTGTTCTATTGTGTGCGAACATGATGATGTCTCTTGTTAAAAAATTGACCCACTTACTAGTGCTAAATTTTAGTCACTCGTTAATGTAATTTTTAAAATGACAAAAAGTAACATTTTTAATGTCAAAGCATATCTGTATAACTGTATCATGACAGTATCATACACTTTTTTAACTCCTTTGTTTGGTGAGTTATTTTTGATTGTCTACGTTTGTTCTCATATTTATCAGAGAATATCCAAAGATAAAATAAATTATGTTTACTTCTTATTGTTTATTTGAGAAGAAGTTGCTAGTAATTATTTAAAAATAGACCTTTTTCTGTCTTTGTAGTGAAGTATAAAATTTGTTTTCAAAATTAACTGATATTTTATATGATTTCTAAAATAATTATCTTTACAGATGGCATGTCTGTGCGGCAGCACAGCTTGCAGTCTCTGCTGTTCGCAATGTCCATCATGCCGCAACAGTACCAGCACTCGCATTATGTATGCTTTAATGCTGGTGCTAGGTACAATCACTTCCTGCATAACTTTAGCACCTGGACTACAAAGTGCTCTACAAAAGGTATCTTTAATTATTTTTTAAAAATTCTTATAAAAATTCAAATATTGAATGGATTATTTACAATTTTATTTGTTTTCAGGTTCCATTTTGCACAAATTCTTCAACCTACGTGCCAAATTCAATTACAGTGGACTGCCAAGCAGCTGTAGGGTACTTAGCAGTTTATAGAATAAGTTTAATAATGACTTTATTCTTTACTCTAATGTCAGTCATGATGATTGGAGTTAAAAGCACAAAAGATCCTCGAGGCGGCATTCAAAATGGGTAAGTTTGTATGTCTTTTTCAATTTTAACAGTTAAACTAATTTATTAATTTTTTTCGTCACAGTTTTTGGGCCATCAAATTTCTCCTCATCATTGGTGGAATGATTGGTGCATTTTTCATACCAGAGGGATCTTTTGGACCAACTTGGATGTACTTTGGAATGATAGGAGGTTTTCTATTCATTCTAATTCAGTTGGTACTTATCATTGACTTTGCTCACAGTTGGGCAGAAGCATGGGTTGCAAATTATGAAGAAACAGAATCTAAAGCATGGTACGCAGCTCTTCTTGGAGCTACTTTCTTGAACTATGCTTTGTCTCTGACTGGTATAATTCTCCTATTTGTGCACTTCACAAAGGTACTTACTTTTATTTAAAATTGTAAATTAATTCATTCAGCGCAGTTTATTTACTATTCTTATTTTTTTAGGCTGATGATTGTTCTCTCAACAAATTTTTCATTTCTATCAACATGATTCTATGTGTTATAATAAGTGCAGTATCTATCATGCCAAAAGTGCAAGAATATAATCAACGCAGTGGCTTACTTCAATCATCTGTTCTTACCCTGTATGTTGTGTACTTAACTTGGAGTGGAATTTCAAATAGCCCAGGTATGAAAAATCAATTTACACTTTTCAACGATATAAAAATTATTTTTCATTAAATTACTTTGATATCTAACCAATGCTATAATTGCAGATAAAGATTGTAACCCTGGATTCTTAGGACTCATTAATGGCAATGATGTAACTGCCCAGAATCGAATGGCATTTGACAAAGAAAGCATCATTGGTCTAGTTATATGGTTCAGTTGCGTTCTGTACAGTTCCATTCGCACAGCATCAAAGTCAAGCAGAATCACAATGACTGACAACGTTTTCGTTAAGGACAATGGGGCTGGTAATTATCAACTCTGCATAATAAAAATTGAAATGCATGAATTTTAACTAGCATAATGTTATAATAATATAAATGTGCCTAATAAGTGAAGGGATTAGAATATTTGAATGCTTATCTTTGAACATTTTTTTCAGTATTATTATGTTTATTTTAAAGTTGAAAAATCTATCCTGTAAATATTGATGTACTAACAAAGTATCTTCTTTGCTTTCTTTTCAATAGTTATTAATCCCTTCACTAGAGTTCTAACAGCTTAATAAACACTGCTTTTTCCAAACAGTGCAGAACACTGGAAACCAGTCTCTTATCAACAATGAAGGTAGGCACACACCATTTTGGACACTTCCATGGATCGATTTATTTTTTGCGTCCCATAAACTCATTTGACAACCCACTAAAATTTGTAGAAGTAGAAATTCGACTACACGCCATATTTTTTTAATCATAACATTACGTTATGTAAAACTAATTTACTAGTCTTCAGTGTGTGCCTGCTTTTGTTAGCAACTTTATTTAATTTTTCATCTCACTCTCTCGAGATCATCATTGGTTGACTTGATACAGCCTAATAATCGGTCGTCTCGGAATGATTTTTTTTTCTCGCTTTTTTTGGTTTGAACATTTTTTTCCTTTCGAACATACTCAGATTATGTTTCAGTAGAAGGCCGCAGCGGTGACGCCGAGGAAGGTGGTGCTAAAGTTTGGGACAACGAAGAGGACTCTGTAGCTTACAACTGGAGCTTCTTCCACTTCATGTTCGCTTTGGCTACTCTCTACGTGATGATGACATTGACCAACTGGTATCAGTGAGTATTGAATTTTGCTTTCAATCGAACAAATAGAGACTATCGGTAAATTAATGAAAATTACTCATGCCATCTCGATTAAATTTTCAGTCCGAACACATCCAATCTGGATACCTTCAATTCAAACTCCGCCTCGATGTGGGTCAAGATCGTTTCATCCTGGATGTGTATGGGATTATACACGTTGACCTTGGTCGCTCCTCTCATTTGGACTGATCGAGATTTCTCGTAAAAAGTGATTCTCTGATGTTCCAATAACGTTGGATTATCGCGACGTATACTTGAGTTTTCGAGTCACTAATTCTTTTTTTTACTACTTCATTCAATCCGAACACTTGTAAAAACGTGTACCTTTGTTTAAATATTTAAAATAAATGTAGTACATAATCACTTCATTATATAGATTAAAAACGATGCCTCGAACAATGATAAAACTAAATAAATCTTAAGTGACAAAGCGTACCGGCATGCATTTACGCTCGTAGTTGTCAAATCTTACGACGTCTTACACATGCGTATCGCTTTAGCTTTCGAATTACGTGTAGTCACTGTATAGATGAGATAGAAACGAGTTATACCGAATTAAAAGATTATATTACGTACACGATATACTTAATTGGACGTAATAAAAAGCAGTTTCGATGTTAAACGCGTGCCGATAACGTTAAATTTTCGATTGGAATTTCAGTCAACACTGGGATTCTCCGTTTCAAGCTACCTTAGACTACGCATCTTAATAGTATTCCTAAGAAAACTATAAAACTGTATTCGTTTTATACATTAAGTATGGATAAATTACAAATTTCTTTGTTACTGTGTTTATATTATCTTCTAATCGTTTTACTTAAAATAAGTGTTGAGAAAAAAAAAATTCGAAGTTGATGTATATCTCAAAAATGAGCTTGTAGCATTGGATTCTTCCTCGTTGATGTGATATAGTCGAACAATATTTAATATTGCTTCACCGATTTATCTTTCATTTGTACTTTTTGTGAATTAAAAAAAAAATATATATAAATAAGGAAAAAAAATACAACGATTTACTCATTTATAGACAAGGGTATTCTTTTTTTTTTATTTTCGCAACAACAAAACATATCTTCGTTATTACAAACATTGGATAAAATTAACAAGACGCATCCCCGACACGGTCGACCGTGCGACGCGTTTATTTCTTTTCCACGAAACGAAATAAAAACACAGTGTGTCGTTACAACGATAAAAAACGCGCTACTCTTTTATTTACAATTATTCGATAATTCGCTAAAAACTAGAAATCCAATATAATAATCTAGGATAAAAAACTTATTTTCTACGAATCGTCCTCTCTTCTTATTTTTTTTTCTCGACGCCCACTCGCGCGCAATCGTATACGAGAAGCGCGATACGAGAGGCGAGTGTCGACGAGATTTCGCGCGTCTCGCGTAAGAAATTCCTTTATACAAAATTATATTTATTAAAAAAAGGAAGAAAACGGCACATTTCTCTGAAATGTACTCTCGCGCGACTTACTTGTTATTTACAAGATAAAAGACATTCTCAATAAACGGCTAAATAAAAACTCTTCGACTCCGCTATCTATGTACAATAGTGAAAAATAGCTAATAAGAAAGAAAAGAGCTCGAGCGAGCGCACAGACACACACAAGCACACACACCAGACGCAATCGCGCGACACGCAGACAATAAGAAAAAATAAAAAATAACCGTATACGTATACTAGGTATACTACTACTCTATTGGGCTTTGATTTCTTTCTGAGCTTTTTCCGTTGTCGCCGACGCAGCGGCAGGCCGCTCCTTGCTGCCCTTGACGTAGTAATTTCGCAGATTCTGGAACGGCATCTCGAACAGCAGCGTGAGAATCGCCGACGTCAGCAGAATCCATATGAGCTCTTTGATGTTGAGCTGTGGAGAATTTCCAATAATTAATAAAAAAACAAAAAAAGAACGAAAAAATAACGTCATCCTCCTCTCGACACTCACGAGCATCCTGATGAACCCAATGTACTCGGCGCTCCTCGTCTGGCCGACGTTGTAGAAGAAGACGGGGAACTGCGTCAGATAGACGGCGTAGCTGAGTCTCGTCGTGACCAGGAAACCGCGCCAGGAGAAGGCCCGCGAGAGCCAACCTTGGCTGCTGTTGCCGGTGTGCGTGACGAAGGTCACCCAGACGAAGAGGGCGCACCAGCCGATGGGGGCGAAGGCGTTGTAGGTCGCCGCGTGGACCGGATCGTAGACGTAGTCGATCGAGCCCATGCCCGCGGGCCCGAAGAAGGCACCGAGGAACATGGCGATGCAGAGGTACCAGCCGAGACTGGCGATCGTCTGTGTCAACAAGAAGATTTTTTTTGTTATATATTTGATGATCAGTAAGGTGGTAAATAAGTCTTGAGCATTCTTATAAATGTTCGGATTTCGTACCACGATATTCAAGAGTTAATAAAACTTTATAAGAGTTTTAAATGATATAAATAAATTTTTTAAATTTATGTGAAACCAGATATTTGGCTTCAGACAATCGCTTATTGAATTTTAAAAAATGTTTACAAGTGACAATAATTTTTATAAAGAGTAATGAAGAGTTATTAAGTGTCGATGAAAGTTTTCAATACTTTTAAAGACCTTTTTGATCGGTATCCACGCTTGCCAAAAGTCAGGGTGAAAAAACTATACAAGCAACTATGCTAAATTGCTAAAAAATTGAGTCTCCACAAGGTTTTATGAATTTTTAAAAACTCTTATTAGCTCTTTAAATCATTAATCAGGTTTACGAAATCCGAACATTCGTAAGACTTTTTTAGACTTTATAAAACTTTCTCGTGAGAAAAATTCCCGTCTGGGGTTGATACTCACGTCGTTGATCCTGCGATTTTTCGGCCAGTTTCTCAGCACGTAGCCGACGAACACGCCGAGTATGTAGACGGTCAGACGGTGGCTCGGCAGTATGTACGACAGATTCGCCGTGTCGAACAATTGTCTTATTCTGCGAAACGACGAATGAATCAATTTTTCGTTGAAACGAAATTAACGCGCGTTGTTTCATACTCACGAGGTGCCGAAAAAGACGTAATTATTCAGGCGATAGTGATAGGTGACGAAGAACCTGAGCGCCGTGGAGATGGTGGCCAGGGCGGCGAGCACCGCGAAACCGATTCTCGGCCTCTTGTAGATAGCCAGTATCATGAGCGGCGACAGGAAGAACAGCTGGGTGTCGATGCCCACGTGATGGGTGTGCGTCAAGCACTATACAGATCGATAAACGAAATCGTAATAATTTTCGTTGCGTTACGTAATGTGGATATTATTATCATTTATGTAACGTTTATGCTTGCCATGTTCTCGAAACCGAAGTAATTGTGAATGAAGAGGAAGTTGCGCCACCAGGTCTTCTTGCAGATGTCGGCGTGTTGGGTCACCACCAGGCTCCACTGCGGCCCCGAGCCGATGAACGGCATCACGAACGTGCAGAACAGCACCAGCGCCCCCAAACTCGGCATTATCCTGAACAGTCGACTCGCGTACTCGCTCCTAATATCCAGTTTTCCAGTACGACTCAATCTACCCAGAAACGAGTAGGCCGTCAGCAGACCCGACAGCATGATGAACGGATCCGTGTAGAGGCTCGCCGCGCGCCCTATGACCGTCCAGGGTTTGCCCACGTACTCGGTCATGTCCGTGCGATTCGTGTAGGGATTGAAGAACAGCGCGAGACTCTTGTGCGCCAGGATGAGCATGAAGGCGTTGAGGGCACGGATGCCGTGGAGGGTGGCGATGTCGCCTTGGGGGCGCTCCAGAGAGAAGAGCTTGAGGGCGTTGCGTTTGAGGGAGAAGGCGGAGAGGGCCGGGTGGACGGTGGCGAGCTCGTAGTGCTCGCACAGGCCGACGCAGACGCAGGTGAGGACGACGCCGAGGAACAGTAGGCTGGGATAAAAAGTGTCGATTAATTGGTATTGATAAAAAAAAGATCTTTTTAAGGAGGCTCTACACATAATACAAAAGATCATCCAAAATGAGATTCCAAAAAAAAAACATGTGGTTGACGATCAAACTTTCGAGATAAACAAGTTTGGAAATGGCGATTTTAACACGGGCTCTAATGGGACGCGGTCTTTTATTGTTTATAACTGATTTAAAAGATCAAACATCTTGAAAAAAATATATTTTCTGAAAGAGAAAGTTCTAAGCTTTCGATTGGTATGTTAAAAATTACCCCTTAACGAACTAACTAATGAGTAATTAAACAAAATCATTGATTTCGAATAGTGCTAGCGGTTGTCTGCCTGATGCGAAAAAGAGACAGACAGATGCCTCGCTGTACTATTGTTATGATTGGCGTAGAGCCTCCTTAAGATCTTTTTAAAAACGTCTCAATAATGAGCCTCAGTGAGATGTTTAGAGATGTTTTTGATGTTTTTTGAAAAAAAATCTTGATAAGATCTCGAAAATGTCTTAGTAAAAATCAATTCATCTCACTGAGGCTCATTATTGAGACGTACTTAAAAAGATCTTAAAAAGAGCTTTTTTTACGCGGGTAAAGTGACTTTATTTATTGCACCGAGGCACATACGTGTAATGGTCCAATCGGTCGAATTATAAATGCCCACGCCCCGCGTTCACAGTATATAATATACGTTATTACAAAATTTCACCGAGCGATAAAATCAATTTGCATAATTCACTGGCAGATACATAATAATATAATCTAAATATATATAAGCGTAATCAATTACGATGATTCGCCGCCACACACGCGCGCGAGCGCCTGTGAAAGCAAAAATCACCTCGTAACGCCGCTTCTGTACATAATAATGATAATTAATAAAAAATCCTCACCCGACTAGAATCGTCTCGGTGGGCAGGGGCTCGGCCCTGCGCGTCTGGCACATCTCCTGCTCGACCTTGACCTGGATCCTCAAGCCGGTGCGCTCCTGGTGTCGGGCCAGCTGGTGGCGCAGACTGGCCTCGACGTCCGCAGCCGAGCAGGCCGCCGGGGTGCACACCGCCCAGTTGATGGTGCCGAAGCGAGGCACTCGGTGTCCCGGCTACGATACACATGGATAATTATTTATTGCACGATGATGTATACGAAAAAAATGTAAATCGAGAATTGTAAAATACGTAGTTGCATTCCGATCTATTGTTACTTATTCCGCTCTACATTTTTCTTTACCTCGTAGTAATAATAATAATAATAATAATACGCGCGCTAATTATAATTGAGGTAATACCTGATTTGACGCGCTCGTAAAAGTGTCCGACACTGTTTAACAATAAAACCAACAACGACAGTTGTAATAACGTTACGAAATTGCTCGTAACGCCAGGCTCTCTCTCGGTCGTACATTGCGTTGTACACAGGATCGTAATAATCGCCGTCGTATTACGCGGGCGTAAACGCGGCGGCGGTGCGCGCGAGGACGTTCATATACGTACGAGAAGTTTATTTATTTTTCTCGACCGCGCGTCGACGTCGCAATTGTCATATCGATCAAAGTATCGGGATATGTAATAATTCTTTGTTTGTGTTTATTTTGTTTCGATCATTTTTTTTTTTCATTCGTCGAGTTATACTATAATACATAAACGAAGGGTATTACGCCGCGACAGTCGCGGTTGATCGGACTCGCGCGCGCGTAATGACATGATCATCATTCAATTATAATCGCCCGATGACACGGCAATTTTTAATTGTCCTCACTTGCTGCTGCCGCTACTATCGGTGTGTATACTGCCCTCAGGCGCGGCCTACTTGCCGACGTGTGTCATTTGCGCCGCGAGACACCCACGCGTGCGACATGTGCAATTAATAAGAATATCGTCGTTATTTATCGTCAACGATGACAACAGCAGAAAAAAAAAACAAACAAATAGATAGATCCGCTGCGTTATTATCGAGTTGGGTTTTTCTCACCACCCTCCTCTTTCTTTATGTACGCGTATACGATTCGCCGAATAGATCGAGTAAAAAAAAAGCTCCATCCGCGCTTCGTTGGTCATTCGAATCGCGCGCGCGCGCGACGACGCACGTGCACTTTTCATGCATGGCGTGCATGAAGCGTATACGACCTTGGCTGATTGAGCCCGCGTTTAACCGTTGCGGCTTTTCCTTTCTTTCTTTCTTTCTCTCGTCGCGATCTATTCGGAACGCAACATTGTGTTGTTGTTGTTTTTTTCTTGTCGGGGAGGAGGAGGTAACTCACGTCGGACATGTTGCTGCGAAAGGCGTAGTGCGAGTGCAGGAGCTTGTGCAGCCGGCGCAGATCGGGCCTGGACTCGTCGACGTCGAGGCGCAGATAGGCCAGGCAGTACTGGCCGCGTATCTGGTCGGGGCCCTCGACACCCACGCACTCGTCGTAATCGCCGAGCTGATTGACGTTGCCGTTAAGCAGGCCCGAAGGCATCTTCGCCGTGGCGTCGAACACTGATTAAGAAGGAAAAAAAAAACAAAGGAAAAATCGTTATTATTATTATTATTATTTTGTGCTAAATTAGATCGATATGCGAAACAATGAGAATCGAATTATATAGTCGTGTAAAAACTCGAAGCGAAATGTATACCCCCGTTTTCGATTTTATATTATTATGTGTGTCGTGCGAATCGGCACGACGTTTATTTGCGTTTTAACGGCTTCGAAGCGCGCACAATAATACAATGTATTATTTCGCGTTTTTTTTCTCATCGACGCGCAACTTTGGAAAATTGCGTTTGGGAATTGTCGTGACATTTTCGAAATCCAGTTATAATAATAATAATACGTACTTTTGAGCGCCCACAGCGTGAACTTGTTGAGCTCGCGTCGATAGACGTCGGACTGGCGTTTGCATTGGGGGCTCACGGGGCCTACTCCGGGCTCGAAGGCCGGCACGAGGTCCAGGAATCTCTTGGCCTCGAGATCGATCTGCTCCTCGTAGAAATCTGCAAAGAAAAAGGAGGACGTGAAATGTTTGTAATAGTAAAATATTTTGTTTCGCGATCATGTGTATTTCGATATTACGTATCGACAGCTTGCGCGGGTATATACATAATACTTTTTAATTGGCCACTAGACGCCGAGCTAGCGGATCATTATTATCATAATTATTATTATTTTAATTACCCACCTAGAAAAAAATATAAGTAAGAGTACAAGATCAATATGTATACGTGTATAATAATATCGCAATTGCACGTTTTTTCCAACCTCTCGCGCGAAACTTCCTTTCCTTTTTTTTTCTCTATCTCTCTTGCTTCCTTCATCGCACTCCCCCTTGTAAAAGTCAAGGTAAGTAAGAGATAAACGCAGCTAATTATAGGAGGTCGAGGCGAAGAAAAAAAAACTTATATTCTAAGCCACCGCCGCACGTATATATAGGGTGGGAACGAAGCTCTCGCTCTTGGCTTTACGGTCCGTATATAATTATAATAATAATAATCAGCGGCTAGCTTTTAACTTCAGCTGCAGCCCCTCGAGCCATGTTGTAGGTATATAGTACGGGGTGATAACCACGACGACGATGACGTGCGCGAAAATTGAAAATTAATCCCGGTATATGTATACGACGATTTAACAATTTCGATTTAGCTGTCATCGGGTGCTAATTCGATAAATAAAACATCGTACGTATTAAATGTATATGAACGAAACTTTGACGCAAGTTATCCAAGCTCGTATCTATGCGCGCATCATGATGTGGCTGCAATCGTCGTCATCATATGCGCGACGGAATGTCTCTGCTACTGTTGCTGCTATTGTGATATAGCCACCGTACGTACGTGAGCGCGAGTAGGGCTGTGCATACATATGGACACGAGCTTTAATTGAGATTCCTGATTTTTCCTCGAGATTACTTTTTGATTTTTTTTTGTTTTTTATTTATTTATTTTTACGAGTGTCTCGCAGCGGCGGAGTCGCGTATGGAATTTTGATAAAATCCCTCGCACGGATGGGGAATTACCAACTGCGAATTTGCATCGTAGTTTAGAAAATTTTTCACGTCGTCGCTGCAGCGATGAGAAAATCGAGAGGCTCCTCTCGTATCGATGCAAAAGGGCGCTCGAGGTTACTTTCACTGATTTTTTATTATTATTATTATTTTTAATTAGACGATCGATGCTGTCACTTGTGAAACGCCCGACCTTGCGCGATCGACAATAGCCCAGCTTTCTCTCATATATTTCGTTCGGGCCATAGAGTTAAAAAATTAATACAACGAAATAAAAAAAATCATAGAATGCACTAAATTATTAAAAAAAAACAGACTTGACCGACGATTTTTAATTTTCCTCACTCGCGTTCGCGCGCGCTGGAAGGCCAAAGCGCGTCCGAGGCGGCGGGAATGCCTGTTCAAACAATCGCTTATTAAAACATAAAATGTGTACAATGCACTTTGTGCACTGTTGTGGCATCGCGCGGCTCGGCGTCCACGCACTTCCACATCCAAGTTTTTTTATTTTTTTTTATTTGTTGTTGTTGTTGTATCGCGAAATTTGCCTCGCGAGCTCCGACCGCTTCCGACAAAACAATCGTTTCTTTTTTATTTTCCTGTTTCGTTACTTTTCTCGGGCTCGAATGTGTTATACGTATCGTTGTTTTTTTTTTTTACTTCGTATCGCCGCCGGGGGGTTGGTGGATAAAAGTTACTCGTTTAAATTAACTATGTACGCAGTGGGTGCGATCTTCTTACACAAGTTTCTTCTTCTTACTTCCTACTTCTTTTACAACGCGAGAAATAACATCGAACTAATAATACAAGAACTTGATAAGACTCGAACACGCTTATGCACTTTTCGAGTTTTAACGCAGAGGAGAGGTAGTAAGGTAGAGCTTTGAGGATAGCAGAGCGAGAGAAAAATAATTCGGTCCGAATGCGAGCATATTATACAAGGATACATTTGCCGTGCTCATGAACTAGTTCACGCAGGCATTCCTATGTGCAGCTGCTTATATTATTTAATTTAAAAGTTTTGTCAAGATTTTCATTTTCCTCCAGCTCTCGTGCAGCGCCGCCAATTTTCAACGATATTAAATTTCTGCCCCCCGCTTATATATATATATCGCGTTTCGTTTGTTGTCGGGGGCGGTGTGTATAAGCTTTCTTATAACGATCCAAGAAGAAGCAAATAAGGAAGGTAAAAAAAAAGGAGTAAGAGGAAAATTGCAGAAGTGATTCGCGCGTATCTCGTAATCGATCGCGCGCGCAAGAGGAAAAAAAAAAAAGACGAGAACTAAATTAAAATATACGAGCGAAGATATTTAGCGATAGATCGAATTTTATCGCGGGAACGAGTTTTATTATACGGCGATGATCTTACGTGGCTTATCGATTTTGAATATCGATTTTCCCAAGTCGCGCGCAGTTTGTAAAATTATTAGTCAATTACGAGGTGTCGGGTGCGTTAATTTTCTCGCGTTCGAAGCTCGAGAAACAAAGCGAATTATTATATACACAACGAATTGAAAAAAATTTAGATATCTACTGAATAACTTTGAAATTACATGAATTTTTCATCCGCGCGTCGATGTACCCTCGATAATCACACGCATACATGCACTTAACCCTGCGTTATATACATTTCCGGATCGATTAGGCGTTTGAAAAATCTCCTCTCCGAGTAAATAAACATACATACACACAAGCGCGTGTGTATTAGTATAGGCGCTATCTACGACGCGCGCCGTCGTCTCGTCGCTAATGGGTGTATCAATATTGGCATCTCAACGCTGCTGCATCTTCCTATCGACACATCTCTCGAACTAAACACCTACATATATACGTATTCGATATACATAGTTACGCGGCTAAGCTTATTTTTTTTTCTCTTCCTACCCGGCGATCCGTAGATCGCGGAAGAGATCTCGTAAAGTGTGTGTACAGGTTTGTAAACGTATTATAATCGTTGACACTGAAAATCGGTATTTTATTCTATTTTTATGCATAAAAACGAAGCGAATTATATTATACTTTTAAGTGCGATCGACAAATTCCTCTCGAGATCGTCTTCTTCGTCTTTTTATTTTTTTTTTTTTCGAAATAGCACATGTTCCTTTTTTGACATTACATCACGATTATTGCGCACATACGCGGTACGTCTAGGTAGAATTTTTTCTTCTTCTCCTTTTCGTAACGATTTTTCGGTATACACATACATACGTACGTACGTTCGGGGCTTTGATCAAGGTCAACGATTCATAAACGACGCGAAGGAGGAGGCCCCGCGATGTATCATAACTTCGTTCGAATTCTATTCGCGAGCGAAACGCAAATCGATTAGCTAATACATAATAATACACGATGGCATTCCCATACGGATCAGCTTCGCGGCTGTCAATCGTTGTCGGCTGCTGCTCCGATGAAAATTGGCTCAATAATTTACATCTTAATAATCGGAGACGTCGTGATGTACTTTTTTTTTAATTTGAACGCGTACATAATGTGGATGCGCACACGGGGGGAATACCGAACTTTCACACTTTAATTTTTTGCCGGACCGATATATTATAATTCTTTCATAATTATCATAAATATTTATGCATGTATCCGAAAAATTCTATCAACGCCTGCCGATAATCTAAAAATAGCCTTGGCCGGTGGTATTTCCGCAACACAAAAGCGATAATGAAAAATATATAAAAAACGTAATACACTTATTGGATAACGGTCGCCTCTCTTGCACCCGTAATAATCGATGTATAGTTACACAATTAAATGGGAAAGATTCTCTCTCTCTCTCGTTATTAACTAACCGTAGTAGGGATTCGTGTGGGTCGACTTGAGATCGACGGGTCCGCGACCGGCGGCCAGCTGCTCGTACGTGGTGATGGTCGATCTTCCCGGTCCAGCCGCACCCACAGCCTCGATCAGCTCGCTCAGGGTGAAATTCTCCGTTCTCTCGGATGTGCTGCTCCGTCTGCTGCTGGTCTGATTACGATGATGATGATGATGGTGGTCGTGATGACGATGACGATGGGCCGCGGCCTCGAGCACGCTCATGACGTCGTCCTCGTTCAGGCCCGCGGCTCCTCCGTGGAGCATCGGTAAGGGCGACTTGACGGCCTCGACGGCGATCGACGACAGGCCGGTGACGATCAGCGCCAGCCCGAGGAGCGCCAAGCGATGCCATGGCTGCTCGTCCTTCATTCCGATTTGTAAAAATGCGCGTGCCTGCACGCGTGTGTGTATTTATAAACTGCGGCGAACCAGAGTGGCTCTCCCTGTGGACAAATTTTGATACATGTGTGATAAATGCCGAAAATCAACAAGCGAGCGGCAGTGTAATATGTTATCAATCGTGTCTCTTGCGCCGCGTGTGTCAATTGTTATGAATCGATCGCGCTCGCAGGAAATAAACAATCGCTCCTCGAACGTATTGTATATCCGAGGGATTTCGTCGTAATCGATTGCGAAATTTATGCTATACATTTTCACTCGCAAAATAAAAGGATGATGACAACTTTCGAATTCTTTTCTTTTTTTTTTGCCGTTGTTCGACCAATGTCAAACGTACCGTCTTCGTGCACACAATCCGAGGTAACAGAATCGCAACACACATTCGACGCACTTATTTTAGCCAAATTAGAAACGCATGATAGATAACGATAATAATAATCTCAGAGCAGAAATCAAATGCACACCTTTTCTTTTCGACACACCAATATATGTCAAATATATTTTTTTTTTGTTTCGAATCACAAGCTTTTCACGAAGCGGCACATCGCGTCGCGACAAGAACGTAAACGAAAGTAAAACGACACACCTTGGGCCCGATGCACACACCACCAGGACAAAAAAAAATCAAAGGAACCGTGAAAATAAAAAAAAAAAATCAAAAGATCAAAGGAAATATTCGTGTGGGTCACCCACGCGTGGTCGCGCGAGCCGCGGCGGAGTGTACACAGGTGGACGAGCCGTGACTGAATGATCCGCGCCGTGAGGCGCGAGTGTATGTGTTCGGCGGGGGCCCGCGCGCTAAACGGAGCCTATGGTAAGTGTTGCGCTTTGACCAAGACGTCGCGCGGACACATGTACACACGGTCGCACACGCTTATGCGAGAGATATTGTAATGTAATGTACGCGACACATCGGTCCCCCGAAGCTTCGCGTCGTTGACGTTTCGAAATGTATCTTTCGCGCGCGCCGTCGTGTGCCGATCGAGTAGTACAGGTACTTAAAGTGTATTATATGCGCGGCGACGCTCTTTATAAAAAAAAATTCGTATGCGCATCCCGCGTGTAAAAAAATTATACATCTCGCGAAAGTTCTTTTGGCTTTCTCGAACTTTGTATGAACTTTGGCCTGCAAGTGCGACTCGCTAAACTTACTTTTTCAGACTTATTTAGATTGCACAATTTTGGTCAAATTTAATCAGCATTTAGGATAACTTTTGAATAACTGGCTTGACTGCAGTTGAAAAACTATTAGATATTTGAAATTTAGCTCAAATTAATTGATTAATTAATTTTGTAGCATATGACGTTAGTTTATTTAATCTATTATTTAACTTAAGTTAATTCGAAGAATAGATCGAGCTTTGCCTAACTCGTATGGAAAAGATAAATTGAACAAAAAATTTTATTGCTAGAAAATTCGCAAAACTTTCTCGAGATACATCAATTTTTTTCACGTGGGATGCGTATATGAATCCTCAAAAAATCGTAAGTGCAAAAATATATAACACATCGCACGAGCGCGTCCGCATAATTAAATTTTATTACACGTTCACCTGTATGAGTGATAACACACACGCATATACACACCCCCTTTTTCTGGGTACGACCGCGACGTGCTTGGAATTTCCGAGAAAATAACGAGATCGAATTAAAAAAAAAAAAAGAAGGAAGGAGCTATTAATACAATATCGCAAAATTCAGAAGTCGCGTGGTAAGCGATCAGGTATAAAGAAAGGAAAAAAAAATATAAATAAAAGTCGAGATGAAGATTTTTTTTTTTTTAGGCACTCGGGACACAAGAGTCCACTCGATCCGGCGAAGATTTATAATCTCGAGCGTTGTATAATGTTGAGATACCTATGGAAATACGTGCGTTGATTCTGCAACTATGTAACATTGCTCAAAATTGATAGTAACACGCGTTACGGTTCTTTTTTATTTTTTTTCTTTTTAATTAAGGAGACGTCGAGTGTAAAAAAAAAAATCGTGACAAATTTTTTTTTCCTCTTCGGCTTCTTTTTATATTTTTAAAAAAATGTTTTATATTCGAATCTATGCTTGTAACAATGAGTACGACGAGGACGATGACAACAAAAACGGAGCCGCGCGCGACACACGAGTGCGAAATACACGACGAACTATAAATTATTTAAAAAACAAAAAAAAAAATGACTACACAGGTAAGTAGTAATGGTAGTTTTGAAAAAAAAAAAAAAAGAAGAATACACGAGTACGCGCGTTAGTGCGTATCTCATGCTCGCTCGAGATGAAAAAAAAAAGATGCTTATTATGACTAAAACATGTTAATTTTCATTCACGCCGCACACAAGCGCGTACGACAATTTTTATCCCAATAGTCGCACGCAGAGATAGGTATGTGCACGAAGGCGGCCTTGTTTCGCGCTATACATATCGGCAGCGGAGGCCTATGAATTACAACTAATCGTAAATATCGGACGGCAAAATGCGGTTTGTAGTGCGCGATGTGCGTAAATAAAGTTTTAAAAAAAAAGGTACGAAAAAACCGAAAAGATTTAGCCATTTTATCATCATGCACAAATTTTCGTCATTGGCAATGTGCGATCCTCAGTATGTGTATCATCCACACGAGAGAGGATCGCGAATAGTCTCGAGCCCATATAGAGATTCACTTACTCATCGTTACAGATCGATATTGTATGTATTTACGAAATTGTAATAAATGCGCGCGAAAAAAAATAAGGTATAAACCCAGATATTTGCCGCGAGTGTCCATAAATCAGTCTTTAATACAGCATCTAACGTCAGAGGTAAAAAAAAACTCATCATCGATACGTCTCAATCGCGCGAAATCGAGAGGAAGAAAAAAAATTCCTTACAAACATTTTTCAGCTCTCTCGGGTCTTTAAACCCATCTAATTCTCTAACGTGTTTACATGTATATTACGTGCGTGTATATGTGTGTATGTATGTGTGTGTGTCATTGATTCCCATATAAATTATGTATTATAATTTTTCGTGATACTCTCGTAACGAGACATGACACACACACACACACACACAGGCGAGTGATTGACGAATACTATGTATACTTTTTTAAGCGGCCGACTTATAACCCTTGCGCAACGAGTGCGTATATATATGTACGCGGTGTCTCTCTATACACAATACAAAAAAGCCTCGTTACATATACAAGAGAGTTTTGTAGCTGCTTGCACTTGCCCTTGCTTTGCAATTATACGATACATCGTGTGTGGCGTGCGTAGCTTTCTAAAAAAATAAATCCACACCTACATAACGCTGTATATACGTACAATACGTATACTCGTATAGGTACCAATTACTTGCGTACACGTATATACGCGCAAAAATTTTCGACAACAACAACAAACAATCCCAATCGAACCGAGGGGGGATGATGCAAAAAAATCAGAAAAGTTATTCATTGTTTTTTCGACTAATTATGACACCGCGTGAATTTCGATGAAACGCGCGCGCACACGTGCGTAAAAACACATACGCGTTTAAATTAAATGAGCAGAGCATGTGTGTGCGTATGTGTCCGTGTGTATGACTGCATAATTAAAGCGGCAGATCACAACGCTTTTGCGCGCGGCAGCCGCTAAAGGAAATCCATATAGCGCGCGTCGTCGTCGTCGTGCGTTCGAAAAGGCATAAATATCGATGCGCGCGGCTCACTGCCTATATATACAATTTCGACACATGCTCGATGGTACATAAGGCATATTGCGAGCGTGTGTGCGTTTGTGTGTGTGTTGTGGCATATTTATCGTCGGACATGGCCACACTTACACACTGCGTCGTTTAATAATCGTACATACACGAGACTCGAGCGCACAATGGCATTATCGTTATTACGCGCGTTTTATAATAAAGCAATGATCGACGTGCGTTTGTCATTACGTACTTTAGCTCGAAAACAATTTTGCATAATATTACGAACGAGCGTGGATTAATAATATATATAGACGTGTATGAACGAGCGGTTCATCGAACTGTCATCGTGACTCTGTCTCGTCGTGCGCCCAGAAAAATATAATTAATTGTTATACGGCCAAAGGATTTCCTACGTATATTAGTAGTAATAATACCTACACACACGGGTTACACAAAGAAATTATAACCACAAGGATGAGGGAAAAAGAAAACCAATTCACCTGCGAGACGAGAGCAAGCTTTTATAATTAAAAGATACATACAAAGTCGCAAAATTTTGAAGCTTACGTAAAAAAATGATGCCTCAATGTTTTATGTGTATCGTGGCAATTATCTTATGTAACAAAAAATATATCCAAAATCTTTTCTATTCAATGTTAATAATTATACGTAGATCTGATTTATATTTAAAAAAAAATTGTTTGATATAAAAGTTAGCAATAGATGCAGCTTCTTATACAGTACCTCAGTTACAGTTTTTATAAGAAATATTTTATCATTTATTCTGACTTTTCATTTTTCTTCAAAAGTGTCTCCCAATCGACGCTTAACACAAGTGATTGTTGGACAGGTCCCATTTCTACCAAAGTGCCTTCAGACTTGTCGTCTTTGATTTTCGCGACGATCAGTTCCTAGAAAAAATTTCACTCTCTTAGTTATTGAATGATCCGACTAATTTTAAATATTAGTTAAACTAAGCATACTTGTCTGAAAGATCTAGTAACTCCAGTTTCCATCATAAGTCTATTTTCTCCCACTACCAGATGCGCTTTGCCACTTTTCCTTATTTCAATTTTACCCAAGAGACCCTCCTCAACGCTAGATAATGGTGAAGGGTTGCCCTTATCGTCGGGTGTAATTGGAATCACACTTGGAAACTTAAATGTATAGGAAAAACATTTATCAATTATTTTTTAAATACATAAACATTAAAAAACTAAAGAAAATACCTGTACAAGTGTGTACTTGTTTTGGTTCCCTTGGAATAGTTTAGCCACATCAGACATTGTATCATGATTCTGTTCTTTTTCCTTTGCCTTACACAAATTTTCAGCTTCAGGCGAACCCGTATTATGATCCGTCACTGAACTATTGCCTGAAAATAATATATTTAGCATAAAAATTGTTCGAATGTTATCTAAAATACTATCATTGCTCTTTATACAAACAATAGTTAACTCTTAAAATAGTATTCATGTTTGAATTTACGTACCAGTGTCAGCTGGTGCCCTTCCTAGGGGCAAAGTAACGGGCGGAACCTTTTCATCACTTGCTTTGGTTTTGTCTTTCGATCGAACCACGTTCGTATTCGGGGCGAAAATACGCCCTTTCTTTTTTTCTCCTTGCTTGGACATTTTCAGCTAGGACACCGAGTTCTAATTTCCAGCTACGACGTACGATAACTGTCGTATTGTTGACTTGCTCGGTTTATGATGTGTTCATACGTATGTTTATAATACACGAAGTCAGCATCAAAATATTATCGAGATATATTCAAAAATTGTAACTTTTCAAAATTTACGTAATAAAATTAAAGCGTGCGTATTTTCTCAAGCTGTATAATTATAATGAAAATAAAAATTAAAATAAAAATAATAATAACAATAATAATAATAAGTACATTTATAGAATTATCCGTACAATAGGAGAAAAAATCAGAAATACGGGCCTGTTTATACGTTATTTTCCAGTGCGTCGTATACAAGCAGTTGTATATCCATAAAGCATATTATTTCGATGTATGTTATTAGCAAGTTAAACCCCTTATATGAAAAAACGATGGAAAACGTGATTGATTGACGTTTAGAATCCCATGAAAATTGTCAGCGACATGAAATTTTTTTCTAAAAATACGTCAAGAAACGGGTGATTCGCCACTACACTTGTCTTTCGTGTACAACTAGGTGACCAAATTACTTTTGAGACGAGGCTGCCCAATGCAAAAGGGTTGACATCTCTGCACTTGATTTGCACGAGAGACAAAAAAAGTACGACGGTGATAATTACTTGGTGAAGCTATTATTCAATGTCAAGGATCAGACATAAATTCAAAATCTTAATCTTCGAGCTTAGCATGTAAAAACAATAGTAATAATTATCATATTCATGTCACAAATGAAATAAAATAGAGATCATGTTTACAATTTTTTTTTCAATATCTCATGTAATTGCGCAGATTTCCCAATCATTTAAATAAATCAATAAATGAGAAATTTTGCTTGAATTTTATAATTTCTATAAACGAGTGGGTAAATTAAGACTTTTTAACTCGTAGCGTTCAAGAGTGTAACAAGAAACTACTTATACATTGTTCGGGCTCGCGAAGTACAAAGGCTCTCGCGCCAAGAGGCAAACGAGCAAAGAGAAGATGTTGGCTATAATATTTATTACATTCTGCCGTGAGCTTAATAATCTCTTGCCAAGTTTTTCTTGTCGTACATGAAGCTTGCGAGGGATGAGAGTGGAAAAAATGAAGGAAGAGACGGATAGAGAGAGGATTGAATACCTATCGAAGATCTTTGAGCGCAAAAATAATTACATATCACGAATATTATAATGTTATTGTGTTTGCGAGAGTCTGTAACCAGCAATACGCGTTCATGTGCCAGTCTGTTGTATTTTCCCTTTGTTGGGATGCAGGAATGATTATTTTAAATCCGTAAATTATTGCGAATCGCCATAATTTCAATTTCATGTTATTAATCCGAGAGGCTTTCGCGCGCGTTCAATTATGATTCAACGTAATAACGAGTTAACGTTGACAAATAACGACACTTTTCACTCGCACACACAGATGCACGAATTTCGCTTCCACTTCAGATGCAATAAATAGATAAAACGTGTACAATAATTTCAATCATTTCTGATACGATATACTTTGGTAGCCATGCGGTGAAAAGGCGAAAATGGCAAAATTGTCAAAAACGTATCAGGCGCTCTGTTTGCAAGTTCTGGTATACACGTACACGTGCATATATGGGTAGATGACAAAAAATTAGTAATTTACATGTCTTGCTATTAAAAATGCTAATAGATATAAATTTTTTAATTTTGAACAATGGTTTCTTGTAGTTTTCTTAGTGTTCTAAACAGTACATTGTATCAAAAAAATTAAAATTTCGAACAGCCAAAATGCGGGGTAAATAACAGGTCGAAATGTGAGTACCGTCAGCTGTCTTTTACCCGAAATACTTATTTCTCCATTCAAATTAACGAATAATTCGCACTTACGTATTATTAGAGTTAAACAGGTTATTAGTTGATATTATAAACTATAAATTTTAATAGCTATAAATATTTAATGTGGACCCAAAAATTGCATAAGAAAATTGGAATTTTGTCCTTTTAATTTTAACTAAAATCGAACTTGATCGATTAATGAGCATACACCATAAGTATTATGTTTTCAACGATATCTACGTAGAATATTTTTGAAGCAATTCAAATACAAAATCCACTGACCTCACCTGCGTCGTTGAAAAATCAGTAACATTCGATATACAGAACGTTAAATTTGAAAATTATCGCTTGTAGCATAGGAAAGTGAGTACCGTCAGCATCGATTCTAATTACCAGCTATTTCGGGATTTCGATCGGGATTTGCTTTTTTTAAGGTTTTACTGTGAATTAATGATTCCTGAGTAAGAAAAAATTTTTATTGAAGTATTATAAATAAATAGGATCTTTTTATACTAGAATGTAAGTACCGTGATCGTGAGTACCGCCAGCAAATTCTCCAAATTTAATATGAAATTGAAAAAAAATGTATAACATTGCTCTAATATTATCCCAATTGATTTTTTGTGCGATAAAAAGTGCCTAAGACTGGACAATCAATGAATAAGAAAACTAAAGTCTTGATCTCTAGAATTTTAATACAAAAATAAAAAAAATTCTAAAAGCAAAAAAACCACAAAAAAATTCGTAAACATGTACATTAAAAACTAGCAGATTCTCAGTGAAATCGAATGTCCTAAACTATTTTTTTTCTAAAAACATGAAAAATTTGTTATTTTTGATGCTATACATGTTCCCAAATTTTATTAGAATTTTCGGAACCGTCTATAGACCCATAATGATATATCTCCCTTTTTCAGAGGCCCAAAGTTGGCATTTTTCCGAAATTCATGATTATCGCAAATATAAAATAATTTTTTTCTCAGTATAGAGTTATTTAAACGAAAAAGTGCAAGGACACTTTTTTGTAGGAAATTGTCAAAATTTTCAGACAAAATAATATTCTAAAATGATCTAAAGACTCTAGAGGCTTGTTTCCATAGAAAGAGACACAAAATTAAAAATCTAATCGAATTCGATCTGGGCTTCACCTGGATATCATCAAAAAATCCCAAAACCAAACAAAGAACTTGATCAAAGTGTCAGAAAACATCTGTTAAATTTCCGTAGCGATCCGATAATTTTAACGGACAATTAAAGCCCGAGGGTATCGAAAAACGTGCAAAAAACATCGAAAAAAGACCAAAAAATCGGAAAATCGCTTATAATGACTAAGTTTTCGTGCAATTTTGTTTTTTAATTTTTTTGTATGCAATTTTCAATTTTGAACCCTAAAAGCTGTGATTAATACGTATAAAAAATTTAATTTAGCAATTTTCGCATCCAATGAGCTGTGTTTTTTTTCGCGCAATCCAATGTTCTGTATTTTTTCGCGGTGCACCGATGAGGTGTGTTTTTTTTTCATGGTATTCAAAATGGTGTGTTTTTATTCGTAGCGCTTCAATGATGTGTGTTTTTATTCGTAAGCAACGGCGATATATTGAAGCTCATTACAAAGAGTTAGTGGGTTACTACCACGATTCGTAAAGCGAGCCTATAAACCGTTAGGTCTGAATTATTTAAAGCATAAATTAACGATACTATAATCCAATCAAAAAAAATGTTTTCCCTCGGCTACAAAAGCGGATATTTGAAAATCAACAGTTTACTATCATAAAGGCGTTACTAATGCCGTTTTTTTCATTGTTTTTCTTGCGCGTACATAACGCAGTTTTACAAAAATAAAACTATGACAATTAAAATTTAGATCTCCAAGCGCGTCGTTTCCGTGTGAAAAAAAAAATTATGCAAATTTTTGATCGGCCTGCAGGTTATAGTGCAGTATAATGAAAATTATTTAAATTAGGTGTTTTGAGATTTAACAGGAGAGCACCGATATTAGAGCACGTTGGAGTACCTTTAGGCGTTGAGGTGGAGCATCAGGCCCACATTGGTACAACCATGAAATGCCTTGTATTTTCAGTAGGGCGTGCGCAAACTTGACTGTCGGACTCGAGTAGAACAGTTAGAGTAACAGAATGTATTCCAGTCAAAACTTTTTATTTGGTAATCGAGCTTCCTTTGAGTAATTGAAATTGCCCAATTGCGCTTATAACATTCATGTTCTATGAGTACATGGATAACATGAGTCACGATAAGATGTTAAAATGAACAAATTAAAATCTTTTATTTTAAGCGGACTAAGCAATAGACAAATCGTTACTCATTTTTTTAATTTATTTATTTTAATAATAACCGAAAATAAACGACATTAAACATTTTATACAAGTATGCTTTTCGTCATCACGAACTTTGACCTCCAGCCACCAAGCAAATATTATACAAGTCTTCGTTAATCAAATGCTCGATGATCATTTCGCAACATTCAATCGGCACCCGATAATGTATCAGCTCCCAGAACGGATATAGCGCACAACGTCGAAAAAATCCTCTCGATAGCTTTTCGCACAGATGCACTGCGCAGACCGGAGATAGCTCTGTGGGCAGGTACCATTGATGATGTGTCCGCGAGAACTTGAAATAATCCGTATAAGTGAGTAGTTTCTCCGCATCTTTGGGCCGTAACCAGATCAGATCGTCGAACGACAGGTTCGGAATTACCATTAAACTTTTTCTCTTGCTCTCGAACAATTCGTATTCGTAAAAATTATCATCGATCTCAGTCCACTTCTGTAACAATCCGTACTTGGCGAAAAATTTCATGATCGTCAGGGCGTCGCTTCGGGCCAATTCGTATCCTCTTTTCTCGAGATGTTCTACGATGATGAGAACACCAGATCCTAGTCGCAATTTAAAAGTATGTATCCAATCTTCAATCCTTGGTTTCAATCCTTCGGCGAAGTAATCCTCAGTGGGGAAAACGAAGCTGGAAACGTCAGCCCCTCGATCCAAGAGTGTATTAACCACATCTGGCAAGATATTCGCAACGGCCCATTGAAGCGATGTCCGGCCCAACTCGTCCTGGATGTCGACCTCCACCAGCTGATGTTTTTCGTCGCAGATCTTGAACAGTAGCTGCACCGAATCATCGTCGTATTTTCTTTTGCAAATCCTCAGC